ACCATTTCCGTTTTGGTTCCGGGGCCCTATTATGAGGAAAACAAGAATAGACCCAGTGCCCCTCCGCCCCCTCTAAGCATGACGTAAGAGTCAACTGATAGGGAGCTTCCTTTGAAGTTAGAGTGCATCTGCCAGGGCGGCAAGGAATAGTCAACTGTACACGAATAAGTGATGTCTATTCTTAATTCATCCTGGTAAAGTCAAGACAGCTGGAGTAATGCTGACCACATTACCCACCGAGTGCCGATTGCTCTGTAAAAATATGGGTGCTCTTCCCATATGCCCGATGCGCCTAAGAGCGTGTAAAGGGATCTTTACTTTTTACTTTACTTACTTATTCTTAATTCAACATTCAACTTTCAACATTCTACACACAAAAAAGCCAGTAAAACGGATGTACACGCAAAACTCAGGCCCTGGAATAAAGCCAACGTTTAAATGGACAAACAACCAGGACTTTTTGCCTTAGCTTACAGCCGGTGAAAAAAAAAAAAAAGAAGAATATATTGATCAGACGTACAATCATGCTATAATCAGGACTCCTCTAGTTGTTGTCTTGTCTTGTCTTATCCACAATTGCCTCACAGCGTAGTGGGGAGTCGCAGTTTTCTATCCTGGGCCAGGTGTGTTGCACGTGTTGTTGTTAGTCCGTGTTGCCTCAGGATCTCTGATATATTGTCTATCCATCGTATTCTCGGTTTGCCTCTTGCTCTAGGGCAGTAGTGTTGTTCGTTGTATGCTCGTAGAGGCAGTTGGTCGGTTTGCATTCGCATCAAGTGGCCAAACCACTCTATTTGTTGCTTCTTTATGAATTGCAGGCATGGTGTGGTTCCTACAATTGATCTAATGTTCTCGTTTCGAACTCTGTCTCTCCTTGTGACATTGGCAGCCTTACGTAAGCATCTCATTTCGCACGTCGTGATCTTTTTCTCCTGTGCTCTTGTTAGGGACCAGGTTTGGCATTGGTAGCAGAGGGTTGGTAAAAACATGCAATTTATCAGTTGTCATTTTAGTGCCATAGTGATGCTTGGGTGTTTTAGCAGTGGGGAGAGTTGGTAAGTTACTGCGTTCGCCTTTTGACATCTTGCCTCAAGTTCCCTATCAATTCTTCCATCATCTGTGAAGATGCTCCCCAAGTATTTAAATTGCTGCACTTGTTTGAGTTGTTCGTTGTTAACTTGAATAGTTAGTATATTAGGTGTTCTAATTATTTTCAGAATTTCTGTTTTGGTGACCTCTAGTTGTTACTTATTCTTAATTCAACATTCAACTTTCAACATTCTACACACAAAAAAGCCAGTAAAACGGATATACACGCAAAACTCAGGCCCTGGAATAAAGCCAACGTTTAAATGGACAAACAACCAGGACTTTTTGCCTTAGCTTACAGCCGGTGAAAAAAAAAGAAGAATATTTGATCAGACGTACAATCATGCTATAATCAGGACTCCTCTAGTTGTGTATCCTAACTTCATCTCTAGAGAGCAAGTATGGTCACGTGTGTGTGGAGAGCTATCTATTATTGAGTTAGGTTGAGCTGAGTCAAGAATTGACATCAGAGCACTCGGGGCAATCCCGTACGTGCTCCGTCCCCATCCTCAACAACCAGCGCAGTGTTATACTAATAGTGCCGATCGTAATCCCTTATGCCTTTCCTCTAAGCGTAGTTTGCCGGCCGAACCCTCTGGTCACAGTCACACCCGGGCATCATTCTCTCATGCCCATAATACTTTAGTTTCTCTTCTGACTTCGTTACTTGTTCCCAAAGGGCTCTAACCACATCTGTCTTGTCATGTATCAATGTACCACCCAGCGGTGCAGACCCAGCCAATCTGTTACTATGGGCAACAACTAGGATAATGGACATCCTGTTATTTGCAAGGTTAATGTCCTCATATTTCTTTAAGACACTTTGCAAAAATGTCTGTTAGTTAGCTGCGTACCCTTTACAGGACTTTGAAGAAACTAACTCCAGCACTCGGGCATTGCGAAACTCGTTCGCAACGCCTAAGCCACAGACGCCGACAACAAGGTGTGTGTTTACATTTAAAGTCAAATGGAGAATATATTCGATTAAAAAAATTAATATTTTCTAGCGAAAAGGCGATTTTGATTTGCAAAAGAGAGAATTTGATTTGCATAAATGTGAATTTGATTTGCAAAAGGGTTAATTTTATTTGCCAAAAAAAGGTGCATTATTTTAGCAAGAAGGTGAATATGGCTTGCCAGTCCAGTAATTGAAAAATGCCAGCGTCTGTGGCCTGGGCATTGCGATCGCAGTTCGTAGCTGCTAGATACTGGGTTCGATTCCACCTCAAGGTGATTCGACAGCAGACTGCTTTGTAGTAATATCGACAGTGGTGTCGTGAGCGCCCCTCAGCGGCACAGGCTAACTACTTAACATAAAATTTGCCTGTGAAATCACAAACAATAAAAAAATATTCTGGATTTGGTTCTGCAACGTCCTGGAAAGATAACGCACCTAAATAAAGTAAAGTCGGTTGATGTGAACCAGCGGCCTTGGTTATAAACCATAAGTGTTCTGCCACCAGTACAGACAGCTGATAAGAAAGTGTCCACCTGTTTCGCCTTCCGCACGCAACTCCATAGCTACAGCGACGTTCCATCATCATCATCGTAAACCACTTCTGGTATCCATTACCTAGAGGCTGGGTGGACCCCGTGAACCGCCCGGTTTCTAACACCTGCCGTGGGATGCAGCGAGTCGCAGCTGGTTTTGAAAGCGAGTCTCCTATTGACTACGCTAACGCGGCCCCTACGCACCTAAATATGAGAAAGAATAAACTCGACAACTTTGTAACGACTCGCAAGATTGATAGAAAGAGACCGAGAAAAAGGTAAAGAGGTATAAATATGGATGATCAGCCACATGGATATGGGTTAGAAAACTGACCTGATCAGTGCGTCTGGTGATTGAGATTTAAAAAAAAAAAAAAAACGCTTATCGGCACGACACATAAAAATCATAATAAATACCTTCTCAATATATTTAATGACGTCTGCGATAAGTGATATAATTAGGTTTCATGGCTTCACACGCTAAACGAACTGTACTGTTTGAATCTGAATTACTGGTTTGTGCAGGGATTTAATTGACGCAGCAGAATCGTGCAGATAACTTTCATTTTCTCATTATGTCACCATTGCATCACACTGCTTGTTGATAACAATGTTTGCTTTCTCTTTCAGGGCCAGCAGCCTGCTAATGGACGTTAATTCAGGGAGACAGAGATACTACCAACACCGGGTCACCGAATTCAAGATGTGAAGTAATCGCCGAGCTTAACTCAGATCTCACGACCTATTAGTGACCTGTTGGATATTTAATGAGACCAATTGAATACGGTGCAGGGACACTTTTAAAGATATATATCTTTATTTAATATTTCTCAAAATTCAGGTGTGATGTTCTAGATAAAGAGAGGCAGGTACATGCTGGCGACGCAGTAAGAGGACATGAATGTCCCAGCTGATATTTTGTTTGTTCCAAGGATTATTGTGGTTTTGTGTTTAACTATTTAGTTGTAGTTTAACAGAGACACGAGGAGACAAAGAGAATAGATGCCGGATTAGGCCTCGCCGCAGAGAGAAATATTTGCATCATAAATTACTGATTGTACATTATACAGAAGGATGTGGACAGACATGACTACCAACATCAGCCAGCAGGTATTATTAGAGAGTGTCTCATTTTTCCAGTCATAAGAAAGGTGTGATGAGTGACTGTCGCTATGTCTGTGAATCACTGTCACTGTATAATGGAAGTCCACATTTATTTGTTTAGTCAGACAATTGCTAACGAAATCTGGCTTTACTAGAGGTTATAGTCAGTTAGTGCTTAGCCAGTTCAAAAGTTGTGAACGTGTGATTTCTCGTATTTGTGTTTTGCCTATTGGGTAAATGCTATTTAAAACTGGTACTCCAACTGCTAAGTGGTCGTACAAGTAAAAGAGGTTTGTGGAAAGGATAAATAGCACGGTAACAAATATTAGAGAAAGCAATGGACATTTAATTAGCATATAAACTGGCAGAAAGGCTAGGAGAGTTATGATAAAATCAACTCCAGACAAGGTACACAAAGGCCTAAATGTTACTCCCTACAACACGTTTAAAGGTTACATAAAACTTACAAAAGCAGATAGCTATTTGCAAGGCAGGTTGTCTGGAAGAAAGAGTTCCACACTGCTAGAATACCACTTCACTATCTACCTCATTGAACTATCGCCACACAAGAGACGCTTGGAGAGACATTAAATCCTGTTTCTGTTCTGACGAGACATCCGAAGAAGACCCATAGATGCTCTACTTTATACAGTACAGGCATTAGTTACATGTCACAATACAAAAGTAGAAAACTGTTTGTGAGCTTGCATGGGAGGTAAAAAAGTACGTCTTTTTAGATTTCGACTGTCTCCATACTTGTCTAATAGTTTCTGGATGGAACTGGATTCCACTCATGACATCGAAGCGATTGCATTGGATTGAACGGATTGGAGAAATAGACTAGGAGCTTTATGTGTCCAATGATGGCCCAATAGGACAATGAATGAGCGAATGGTTTTTACACTACCCGGGCATCCTTATCTACAAAACGGAAATAGTTTCTAGTGTCGTTATCACTATTATCATGATATAGAATCAAATAATAAGAAGCAGCAACACAAGAACTTTACTCAATACTCACGACCTAATATTTTCTACACTGCATCTGGGTTCTCCTAACATCTACATAATGGAAACAGGCTTGGTTATCTTTACCACTAATAAGATGAAAATGTAAAATGCATCTAAATTACAGATGCGCTAAATATTTTTCATGAAGATTTTCTGCACTGGGAGTAGATTCTTCTGTTTATATAATGAAAATAGCTTTGACTTTCACAATGAACATTAAGATTAAATTGTAGCGAGCAGCTGTGCCTAATACTTTTCATCCAACATTTTCCAGTCTGTTCGTGGATTATTCTAAAATCTACACAATGGAAATAGCATCGACTATCATCATCAACATCAGTATCCAGTCCAGAAGCCAAAATATATCAGATGATAAAACATCACCAGTGTCTTCCATACTAGTCATGGATGCAGAGATGCGCAACCGCACTGTGCTTGCTTCCTGTTTGATGTTCTCAGCTGGCGTAGTAGGCAACGTGCTAGCCCTAGTTTTAATGGCCACGTCGCCTCAGGAACAAAGGAAGACAATGTTTTACAAGTTGATGGCCGGTTTAGCCTTCACAGATCTTGTGGGCACCTGCGCAACTTCCCCTGTTGTTATCACAATCTACGTTACCAGCAAAAAACTGGACACAGATATGCCACTGTGCAATTATTTTTCTTTTATGATGATATTCGCTGGATTTGCCACGATGTCCTTAGTCTGCGCAATGGCTATAGAGAGATACATTTGCTTGTGTCATCCTTACGCATATCATTGCAGACTGTCGAAATCCTACGCTAAATACGCATTTATAGTCAGCTGGTTGCTGTCTGTTTTAATAGCAACACTGCCCCTTATGGGCCTTGGTCACAACACAGTTCAGTTTCCCAGGACCTGGTGCTTCTTTAACTCAACGAGCAGACAACCAAAGGATATTGCTTTCAATGTAATCTACGCCAGTATATCGTTCATAGCAATACTTGGTACTCTGTGCTGTAATGTGGCTGCGATATGGACGGTGCTAGCACTGAAGCGTCGGCAGAAAGCTCTCAGTGCAGCTCGAGGTCCGGGGATAAAAGGCTACAGGAACCTGGCTCAGAGGTACGCTGAGCTGCACATGGTGGTCATGCTTCTAGGAGTCACTGTTGTTTTTACCTTCTGCTTCGGTCCTCTCATGGTAAGTTTATTGCTATACATAGGTGATAATCTGCAAGTGTGTGTCAGTCTGTTTGGTTTCAGTGTAACAGATCAACAAGAAGAAAAACACCGACATCCTACATGATCTGAACATCGAGGAGAATTGGCTCACAAACAGCATCCTGTCCCATTCGCTGACGTATTTTAGCTATTTTTATTTGTTATGAGTTAAGCTATCTTCACAGCACTCGGGTCACGTCCATTGGTACTCAGATTACCCTTTCAACACATACATCAACGTCCCACGGTTAATAGTGCCTGTCCTATGCTGGTTGAAAAGACTTTGTGATCATCTGGTGTGCCTCTCATGCGACAATGTTTAGCGTTAGGGTGGCCTAGAAAGAACAGTAATGGAGGGGGGCAGCTTCTGGAATGTAGATACAAGACACTGAAGATACTATGGCTATAAAAGATGGTGGTTGTGGTAGCAGTAGTACAACGTTAACGAGAGGATACAATTCAAAATTTTCCTACAATAAAAATGACATACCGTTTGCTAATTATAGGCGGGTTTAAGAAGATTTGTTAAGAAGGCGAAGATACGTTTGATACAAATGTGTGTTAAAAAGTCGAATAATAATAAACAAATAGATTAGACTAGCCTTCAGCGAACACACACAGAAGTCTAGTTAACCTGACTCCCACTATCCTACCGGAGTGAATTATTCAATTATCTTAAAAGAAGAACTAACCTTGAGTCTTTTTACACACACCCTTCAACACGCATTGCTTCCAATAAGGCAACACGTGTGAAAACTTTGTTGTCAGTTAGAAAAACATAACATATAATGTATGGGGAACTCTTTTAGCGTAATACTGTGATGTGGTAATCTTTGATTTTACCAAATAGTTCCAAGATGTGCAAGTAAGAATGTTAGGGATACGAAACTATATAGTTCGTTCAATAACTTATGAACACACTAGCAAGCCATTTTCTCGAAAACTGCCTGTTTAATCGCAACGATTATTTTGCATGTAGCCTTAGAATATCCATGACGCAGAAATAATGGTATTCTTTAGTACATAGATGCTCAGGATGCCGAATAACAGCCAATTCATTTGATCTTTTCTAACCATTGTAAATAATTGGAGTGAACTTTTAGATTTTACAGTAATAATCTGAATTTCTGGTTCATTTTTTTTTTGTCAGAGGCGTATCTTCATAAAACATTGATAGGTGAAGTAAATTTATTTCTGTCATTTATGTTCAACTGAGTTGAACTGGGCCGATGCAAGAAATACATTACAGCACTCGGTCATTTCTATATGCGCTCCGTCCCCATCTTCAGCAGCCAGTGCAGAGTTCCAATACTAATAGCTCCAGACAATGTGATTATATATCCATCTTGCCATTCCTCTGAATGTAGTGAGTCGGCCAGGCCCTCTGGTCACACCCATGTGTATCGTTATCTCTAGGCCATGATAATCTATTTTCTATTCTGACTTCATTACTTGTTCCCAAAGGGCCTTGACCACATCTACCTTGTCGTGTATCAACTCCCCACCCAGTGGTGCAGATCCAGCCATTATGTCTACTTGTTCAATTGTAAACATGTCCCAAATATGCAACAGTTAGTTTTCCCCTTCAGTCACTGTTAGACCCCACTGGGTCTCTTAACTGCACAGCAAAGTGTATTATGGTTGATACATTTGGATATGGAGATGTAATTGTTGAAATTTTAAATGTACCTAACGGACTGATGATATTGAACCACTCATCGAAAACAGTGGTTTTAATCATTCCGAATCTGGCGATCCAAAAAGGTTGATAATTTTTACTGGCTGAACAAATTATAATCCATCTCGATGCCACTACTAGTCTTTCTCTCCGAGTATATGTTCAACACACTTTTACCAGAAAAAATGCCTGTTTTTGAGATGGACTGCATCGTTATTTCAATGTTAATTTCAGTTTCAGAGAGTAAAAGTTGATTTGTCTCTAACATTTTTTAAGATCCCACGTCTAATAACATTTACATCAGAGTTGTCAACTTTTCTTTTCCTGCCTTACTTGACATGAGTGCACTCTGTATCCTGTCTAATCCAAAAATTAAATGATACTCTTTCCAGACCAACGTCAGTCGTGTTCGTTTCTTTGGGTCATGAATATCAGGAAAAAAAAGTGACCTATCTTGGATACTCTGAAGAAGTGCTGGTACAGTAAAACGGTAACCTTCTGCATAGATATGAATTTGCATCTCAAATTCGTTATGTCAGCTTTTAGCTAGTTATATGACTCAAAAACTCAGCACTAATTTGTGGATGCGCCTTTGACCAGACAACCTTGACCGACGTCTCAATTTGGCGTGAGGTCACTAAGAGTGCGACTTTGCAGGAGGAAATCATTCTTTTGACCCCCTGTTAAGCCAGTCATAGTGTGCATTACTTCCTGAAACTAATGAAAGTAAACCTTCCAAAAGTCTACCATATCGTAAAGAAGACAAAACCTACATATGATATTCATCGTTAGTTAAAATAAATATTTCCTTAACGTCATGGATGTTCTAAGGCTGCATGCAAAAAATCACAGGCAGTTTTCGAGAAAATGGCTCGCATGTGTGTTTATTTATTGTTGAACGAACCTAAGCGGCTGTTTCCATAGTAATAGTGGTCAAATTATACGCAAATAGACTGAATTTATGTTTTTTTAAAAAATGAATATGGTATTGAAAAAAAAAAATGTATTTTGCTCGGAGTGGGGGGAGCGGGGGGGGGGGGTGATGTTGTAAACATGAGGCCGTCCGTCTTTAATTCCCAGGTCTTTTTCTGGTACCCGCTTAAGGCTAGGTCGACCTAGCAGCCTAAGTAATTTAAAAAAAGCAACTTCCGATAGGTCAGGACCTGAACACACGACCTTAAAATCCGCAGGCGAGAGCTAGCCACAACACCACGTCGGTTCCCCTCCCTATAAAAAAATGGGGGGGGGGGGGGGGGGGGTGCGCTTGTATTTTAGTGAATGCTAGTTATAAGTAGTTCTTGGTGATGCTGTTGGCACAGTTTGATAGCTTTAAAGTTATTGCCATTAGTGACTATTATTTACAGTGTCATTTACAGCCCTGTGCGGGTGAAGCGCTCTACCTAATCTTTCCTCTCTTTAGTATTTAATGCTACAGTGCGTTTCAAAAGTCGTACCCTCACCCTTTAACAAATGTCTTGAAGATTCCAGGTACTGATCAGCGCGAATTTGTTTCATGTGTTCTTAGATTTCTTATATCCTTATGATTTGATAATTAACAATTGCACAGGTGCTGCTGTTTTCTTAAAGCGGCGAATTTCTTAGGTTTTTGTTTGACTAATAATTTCTGTACTGCTAAAACATAGAATATAAAGTAACTAACACACGTGTGTAGATTTTTATAAATCTGTTCTTTTTTTTCTTCTGCGATTACTCTTGAAAGGGTGTGACATCCTGTGTTGTACTTTACAGGAAAAAATATCTACGCCTTTCAGTCCAAAACGTCCAGTTTAAGTAAACCCCAATTATTAGCCTTTTACAACATACTTTCGCTCTCAAAACGGGGCGCGTGAATCCATAAGTGGAACTTCAGTGCGTTATCTGCACACGAGTGATCCTGTTTCTGCCCTATCCACGAAAACGTCCACCCTATAAGCCTTTTTTAAAGGTTTTCTATTTTTTTTTAGTATCTATTTTTTTTTTTTTTTTTAAAGGTGAGAACTCGTTGGTACTGGATAAGACACGATGAGAAGACCCGATAATATAACTAGACTGTCTTGCTTTTGTTTTGAAATCCACAGGTTCAGTGAAAAATAAAGGCGAACCAAAAAACACACGGAAAATTGATTTAAGATGGGGAAGATTAAGGGTGAGCTTCTCGATAGCAAAAAATTTGGTGATTTGGGTGTGAGTTAGTCGAAGGCCTATGCTCCGTTGGGGAATAACGGGTAGCAGCAGAAGAGGCAAACTGCCCACCGTGCCATGAATTAAGACGACCCTGCACTTCACATCCCACCGACAACAGTGGCTGTCGTGGAATAACCTTTACCATCTTTCATTAGTACACGAGGGAGACTTCCGTTGCGAATACCCTATTCTTTCATCATGTCGTTCTGGTAACCGCCTGTTTGATTTAGGATAACAGACACTCCCTAATACTAGCAATCAGTTATAAGTCACGCAACTCATATCTGGCGCCAAGTCCCTGGCTGGTTGAAATAAGGGTTCTCAGTCTGTTTTCGCTAACGGCCTAATTTTGATCCTCTTTTTAATTTTGAGGGAACTGTTTTATTCTCATCTGTCCTTTTCTGTTTTGCATCTCTCAGATGGTACTTATCCTGTCTGACTGATATTCTCGATGCCACAAGACCATTCTTCGATCCCTTATGGAATTGTTTTCATGTTCATCATTTATGTATCTGGGGATCTGCAGCACAAGTTGTTAGGGGTGAGGTAGCCAATATAAACAGTCAACTGACACTGATTAGTACTCATTGAAGGACACATGGATACAATAATAAAGAGAATGAAACGGAAGGAGAGTGAGCCACAAGGAGAAACATTAGGAAGACAAGGCAAAGAGAAACACAACTTGACACAGACAGGACGGAGCAGTCTAGCGTTTAGGATAGGAACATAAAGCTAGCTCCCAGGTCAACCCAGCCTTGAGTGGGTACCGGGTGCAGTCCCGGAAAGTAGAGGCAGCCGGCGTGATGCTGACCACATCACCCATCTTGTGCCGTTGGTCTATAAAATTTAAGTCTAGCCCTATATGCCTTCTACGCCTAAAGACGTGGAAAAGGGTCCTTTAATTTTACTTTTTTTACATAAAGCTAGAAAGATGGTGCACATACCACAGTATTAGCCAAGCAAGTGGCGCTAATAAACCAGACCACAAATATAACCTGCCAACAGTATTATCTCCCTAGAATAGAACTGGAGCTGATTGTTAAGTAATACAACTAGGTGGAAGCTGTAAGTTTATGGTGTTATAGACAAAGGAAGAGAACGCCATCCACAGATACAAAG